CTCTCTCTCTCTCTCTCTCTCTCTCTCACACACACACACACACACACACACACACACACACACACACACACACACACACACACACACACACACACACACACACACACACACACACACACACTCTTTCAAAACACAGACACACACACACACACACACACACACACACACACACACACACACACACACACACACACACACACACACACACACACACACACACACACACTTTTTATGAGCATCCAAAATCAATACAGCTGAAAGCAGGCTAACTCCGCACACACACACTCTTCCTCCTGCCAAGTGGCTGCAACTTGTACATTTTTTTCTTAAACTCCGGACCCCGCACATGTGTGAACCTCTTTGATCAGAAATTGAAAACACCTTCCGGGTCTTTTATCAAAGGTCTATGTCCGCTTTGCCTCTGCGGAGCACTTCCAAAAACATGCTGTTCAGTCTCCAGTTGAGAATATTTGCATTGACGTGCTGAGGGTCTGTTCAAATGTTTGTCCTCGAAACAATGAGAGAGGGAGAGATTAAAAAAACGGATAAAGCCAGACTTTTATTCCCCTTTTTTTACCGTGCTCATCACGTTCCCCCTTCTCCTTTCACTTCTCTATCTCTTCCCACAGTGGCCCTCGAGTGGTGGAAGGTGGCCAGTATGCATTCAGCGCCTTCACCGCTGCAGTATAATTATTCCTGCTAATCAGAGCACTTTACAGCAGCCCCTCTGTTCATCTGCACCCCCTCCTCACTCTCTCCTAACACTCTGCCTCTCTGTCTGCCCTCCTCTCCGCTCTCCCTATTAACCCTCCCTAATAGAAGACAGAGCGCTCACTTGAATAATTTGTAGTATGTGTGTGATGGATGTGTGGACGTCCGGCGACAAGCACAGAGGAAGATTGACATAGAAGCAGAGCTGAGAGAGGGGGAGTGTTTGGCGGCTGATAAAGAGGTCATTGTGCATGTGCTGCGCCTGATAGCTGCTCATCTCCACCCTGAACTGGCGGAAGACAAGACACCAACCTCTGCACAAAACCCTGGGGTTAACTTCACTATAAAGACCTCGATGTCTCGTCAAAATTAAAATGTTTCTCTCCCCCTCTCGTCCACACCCCGCTAATAAACACATTTCCCTGCACACACAGCCCCACGCTCGTTAAACCCCGGGCTAGCTTTAGTTTTGTTTCATGAGTTTTTTAAACCCACTGAAGCCAAAATGAAATTGTTATAGCTCTACCGCTGCCTTTAAGCTTCCATTCTGTTCCAGCTGAGGTATGCAGCCTCTGGAGCACCAGGTCTGTCCTTTGGTTTAAAGGCAGTTGTGTTTTCTACATCAGCCAGGAGATATTGAGGGAAAGAGGGGGAGTTACAATAAAGAGGTAGTATACTGTAGTTAAGCTGTAGCTCTGTGTTGAGTCACTGTTATGTGAAGCAGACTCCCAGGAGAGCTTTCATCCTGGCTCACAGTGAGAAAGACAATTGACTGCGAGTCCCGAGGTGCGACTGATGCGTTTAAACATCTGCATGAAGAGAACATTCATTGCACCAAAGAAAGGCACTTACAGTGCAGGATGAATGATAGCTCAGTTCGGAAAAGGAAAGGCTTCATTGACAAACTGTATCTAATGCAAGGCAGTCTGCACACTTTCACACCTTTCCATTTCCATTTATCCTATTTGTGAGCTTGTGTTGCATTGCTAATACCATTAGCCAGGCCTGCATTAGCTGAACGATGTATGGCAGAGCGGAGGAAACCTGACTACATCCCCGGAAAGGTCAAGAAATGCATGTAATACAGACACCTCCAACCTCCTTTTAGAAGGATCCGAATCAATAGCACCGCTTAAAATAGGCATCTGCCTTTTTTCTGTGTTTCTAAGTATGGCCTGCACATGTGCTGTATTTTCCTCTACATGAAAGATGCCATTTCAGTAAAACAATCCTCCCCAGGAGGCACGAATGCCCCGTCATCACCTGCAGACTGAGAGACCAACGTGGCCTTGTAACGCCCAGCAGAAGTTTTTTAAATATGTACACATAAGTTGCCCATCAAGGTCCCATTGGACTATTAAAGGGAGTAACTGTGTCTAAATTATGCATCAAATCAATGTGGAGAAACTGGACTACACCATGTCAGTGAAAAAAAAAGAATATATGTGTAGACAGCCTTTATGCGTGGTGGTCTACTAAAACTCTCGTTCCTGTCATCTGACCACATCACTGGTCACATAAATGACTTCATTATCTTTAACCCGTAAAAACCATACGGAATACCCTGTTTGTGTCCTAGCAGATCATTTGTTTTTCTGCTAAGCACAAACATTTAGCATTGACTAAAAGCGTTGTTTAAGTTCTACCATAATGTACAAAAATTAGGGTGACATCTGTCAAAAATCCCTGAGATGTATTTTCTCATGCTCAAAGCAATACAAATGACATGACAACAATTCAAAGCAACATCCCAATGAAAGCTTGATGACAGTGAGGACAGTGGGGTCTGTGGGTTATCAAGAGTAACCAGGACATTGTTTCTCGAAAGACAGACAGTTGTTGAATTATTCAAATGTAATTCTTCATTCCTGTGAGCAGCAAATATTTCATCTTATGCACCTAGAGTGAATAAGAGTATAGGCAGTTAAAATGAATAGCTCTGCAGTGCTAGCCTTGCTGCCATGATGTATAGTAATAATTAAGTAAATATCATTGGTAATCTGAACTGAAATCTAGTTGCAATATATGGTGACCAGTTGGTAGTCTGATTTACTCAATGTAATAACAGATTGGGTTTATCAATCACGGTAAAGTTAAACCCCTAAAAAAGGAAACAATTGTAAAGTAGAACAACCCCTAAAGAATTTGGGGTATTGCGTCCCACTGTTTGGCCTTGAAGGAAGCCTCAGGGGTCCCGCCGGGGTAATGCTGTGAGTGTCGGTTTGAGGCGAATGAGGAGCAGCCAAGGTTCTGCTGAAAATTATACGTTCTCAGATCTGAACCAGGATGCACGTTCTCCATCGCCACCAGGCTGCTGAGATCAGAGGAGCTTTGGTTTTCGCTGGACATGGAGGGAATAATCTGCGGACTGCTTTAGCCTTTCTACGACTACTTCAGTCTTAGTTATAGCACTTTTAAAACAAAAAGTTTAAGATGACAGGTCTTGTTTTTGAGGGTGTTTTTATTTGAATTCGGGCCCATCAGAGTGGGCACAGTGCTGCCGCAACATAGGAAATTACACTGAATTATTAATGGAGCCCACAAAGGAAGAGGAAATAGTTCAATTTATGAAAAGGACTCTTCTTTCCAGGCTTTTCTCTGATAGAAACCAGACCCACCCAGTAGCACAGAGCCTCTCTGGCCCCAGCAGAGGCTACACTCAAAAGGATGACCTCCCTAAAGCCCAGACCTTGTTCTCAGGGATCCATATGGCCTTAATGTCATGCAATGTGCAGAGATCACATAGATGGTGACGTGGTGAAGAGAGACCTGGTGTGCAGGGCCCGGCCTGGTGTGGGGCGGGCTGGTGGCTGACAGATATTTGCCCCCCTTCTCGAGGAACATTCCTTTTATTTCTGCTCACAGCAACCCAGCCAGAACCCATCTGTCTATCAGAAACAGCTGCTGCTTGTGCGCACTGTATCAGACATCTGGTTGGGGACATGGTGACTAAAATTCGAACAAACAAGTACTCAGAGAAGATACGAAAGTATTTCGCCTTGCTAAGCCTGAAATATAACTTAACAACTACTGTGTGGGCGAACATTTATTTCATGTATTCACTGTTCCAAGAGGAGAAATCCTAATATTGACTTGACTTATCAGGTACAATTTTTAACATATTCCTTCATCATTGTCACCATTTTTACAGACATTCATGGTCCCCAGAGGATGAATCCTAAGAACTTTGCTGCTTCTCTCTACTTAAAAATTTAAAATACAATAAAATGTAACACGGACGTTCAAGTTCCAAAGGAGAAAATCTACTGTAATTTAAAACTGCAACTAAAGATTATTTCCATTATCAATTAATCCGCCAATATTTTTTTCTTTCAATCATTTGGTCCATTAAATGACAAAAAATAGAATTGAATATGTATAATTATAAGATCGGATAAGGCTGTTTTGATCCAGGGGAGAAGCATAACAGAGCTACTGGCGTTGCTTAACACCTCATTCCATTTCTTTTTCAATCGTATTCAAGCATGTTTCTTTTCTCACAGATGGTTTATTTTTTCCACACAGATCCTCTGATGCCAACATATGCTACTACTACCTCCGATATGGACCTGTCTCCACCCTCATTCACAAATGTCTTCCCACCCGGTGGCTCTGAGAGCCCGATGCCAGGAGGAGAGTCGACCACGTCCAGCGCCGGCTCTCCTCGGTTCCTCGGCCACGGACTCAACGAAAACCTCATTCCCATCTACTGCTCCATCCTGGCGGCCGTTGTGGTTGGCCTTGTTGCCTACATTGTTTTTAAGAGGTCAGTTGGTTGAAAAGAACTAGATGAAAAGCCGCTTTGTGGTAATGGACATTAGCACACTTCTGTTTTGCACCTCAGCCACAATATAAAATAGGACATAGAGGCTGATGGAGATAGTGGTGTTGGATAAACTAACAGATGTGGCCTCAGGCTAAATAAATGTCAGTTAGGTGCCTGTTGAAATATTCAGGCCTGCCATGGTCTAAAAGCTTTTGACCCACTTTCACAGAATCACTCCAATGTACCACAATGGGTTAAAAAAAAAAAAAAAAGGAAGATAAAAGAGGAGTTAATGCATTACAGAGGTCACAAACACAAAAATGCAACCACACATGCAAGCACTCATACAGACAGACACAAGCCCGGGATGAAACAAGTAAACAAGCTCATTAGTGGTATCGATTGTTTAGGAAGTGCCAACCAGGAGAAATCTGAGTGCCAGATATACTGGTGGAGTAACGCACACATCTGGCTAATAATCTTCAGGTTCTCGTCATCATGAAGAAAACTGACTGCAATTTATGTGAAAACTTTAACACCTGTACTAAACACTTAGAGGTGTTAACTGTTCCACTCAATATCTCATGAATATTTTAATCATTGATCCACAGGCATCTATCCTCTAAAGAGAAGCACCAGTAGAGAATTGTAAAGCTTGTTCATGTTTTTGGAACAACAAACAAGCATCTTTTTATAGTTTTTCATTTGGAGGCAAATATGCAGCACATACTATAAGCAGTTTACAATGATAAGGATATAATGCTAATTAAATTCATAGAGATTTCTGAAAAGGTAAGTTCCTGATTTATGAAGGAAGTAGACAAAAGCAGCTTCTTTATTATATTGGGCGACTACTGGTTATTCAACTTTGATTTTGTAGTAAGCTAGCTAAAATTGCTACCATCAGCGACTACTGGTTATTCAACTTTGATTTTGTAGTAAGCTAGCTAAAATTGCTACCATCAGCTGCATTGGTTGGTCGAAAACCAAGTCTCCATCTTGACTTTGCACTTTTTCAAGCTGACCTTTTAACTTGTTAAAAAGGCTCTTTATATTTAAATGTGGAAGTGTAAAAAATTCAAGTCTTTTTTGTATGCAATCTGAAACCCATCAAGCTAATGTATTTAACTGCTCCCTTGGAAAAAGCTTAGAAAGTAATAACGTCACGAGGGATTTGCCACTAGTTACCCGAACACTACCTGAATCAGTTTAAGGACATTTCAAGTGATGTTTGAACTTATTAGGTATTGTTTTATAGGTTATAATGGCTGTGAAATCCAAAAGTCTAAACTCAGATTGGATCACATGACAGTATCATATTGAGCCGATGGTAATCTTCCTCTGACCTGCCACTTCTCCCCAGGTGGAATAGCTGCAAGCAGAACAAGCAGGCAGCTAATAACCGCGCAGCTACCAACAACCAGATGGTGACTCCGGAGGGAGAGAAGCTGCACAGCGACAGCGGCATCTCAGTGGACAGCCAGAGTCTGCAGGAGCAGCAGCAGCAGCAGCTCCAGGCCCAGGCTGAGGTCCAGGCCCAGCCTTCACACTCAGGCACACAGGACCAAATAGGTAAGACTGGAACAAACTAGTGTTTTAGTGTTTAGTTTAGTGATTAACAGCAGTACGTCATTATTTTCACGATGCAAAAAATACATTATAAGGCTGGACGAAAATCCAATATAACATAGGTAGTATATCAGGTTTAGTGGTTGTGCTAAATGTATTTTTTAGGCATTTCTTTTGGAGTTTTGTCAAGACAAGTGAATTCAAGCACACATTTGACTCATGGTCTTACATTTTATTTTAAATATAAAACACTTCCTGTTCCTAGACCCTCGACTCAGATAAGAAACACTAAATCGTTCTGGTTCCACTTGCCATTATGTGATAAACAGCCGAGTTCCACTTTATTAAAAACAGGCGCAGTCTAATGCAATCCTATTAAATTATATGTTTTAGCATTGGGGACAACATTTAACTAAAGACATATGTTATGGAAGGGCAGGTGAATTTCATTGTATTTGTTTGTACATTGCTACATAAATTGATATTGAGTATATATTGATGTAAGGAAAACATCAAATCAACATAGTGTTTTAGATTTTGCTATTATTGGCAAATCAGATCCTGGCGTTATCCCACGACTTCACCACAGAAACTCTAAGCTAACATAAGACACTTCTCAAAGTGTGAATACATTCCTTCTTCATACATTGATATTCTAGCTGCCATTATTGATTACATCAAGATCCTCTGCTGAGACTTTATATGAAGTTGTTCTCTGGCTGCGTGCAAGCCTTCTCCTCAGAACAAAAGACATTTCTGGGGATTGGGATCAAAACCAATATAACAGGTATGAGCAGGACTAACACCTCGCTGCCCAGAGCAGCCAAATCTAACACACATGATGCATTAGAGTGCAGGAATGTGTAGATTATGATTAAAGCACCAGTAGTAACATGAATATAAGGCGGGTACTGAACATGAGCTGGCTGTATGCCTCTTCATCACATATGTTAAGGAACCAAATAAATCAGAGGGAGAAGAAGCCAGCACTGACATACGTTACCATCTTAGCTTACAGCACATTCAAACATTGTAATGTATAAGGAAAGTACGTAACCGCATATGTTTGATCTATATTTGCCGCTACAACTCGTCTGTATCTATATTAGTCCCTCTTTGACTCATGAAGTATTTTCGATGTACAGTATGTCTGAGGGGTAAACTTTATCACGTAGTCTTGCGAGCCAGACAACATCTGAAAGGTTGTTTGAGACTAGCTGAGTGATCATGTCTGGCTTGGGAGGATAAAAACAACTTTATACACTTCACTGATCTATGATGAAGCAATTTACCATGAGCCTAGTTTACTTCTTTCAGCGCATTGAGAGACAGAAACAGTATTTAGTAGACCTTCTTACAGTCAGCATGTATTTTACACACTTTACAAACTCTTCCTAATATATCTTAATTTGCATTTGAACATACAATTATTTAACAATATTTTATATCTTGGAGAATCAAGGAAGTGCTGCAGGAATAAGATGTGACCTCAAAGCAATGTTCCTTCTAAACTCAAATAGTTTATAGAGATGAAACCATTGCTTATACCCGGTTTATACACAAACACGAGAGGCATTAACCTGAAGAAGATGTCTCCAGTTTAGCCATGATCTTGTTATTCATTCAGTCATTCATCTTTCCAGAATTTCTCTAAGGGTCTCACACGTTTCTTTCAGAGTCTTATTGTAACTTATAGTAAAGCCTAAACATTGGTTATACAGGGATAATAACATGCCAACAAGACAAACTGATAAATCCTCCCTTGAACAATTCTCATCACTGGGAACCCATCACATTCTAATGAGGCTTGGGAAAAGCTTATTTTGTTTTGTTTTGTTTGAGTCCCTCTTTCCATTCTTCAACTTCGCAAATGCAAAGCTGGCTGCGTGTAAAAGAAAAGAAGGAATTTCTTTTGGAGGAAGTGCTTTGGATTGGTTCATTGAGAATATGACTGCCCTGTTAACCCTGTCGTCTCTCCAACTGATCAGCTCATTAGCAGGTGTTACGAGACGGGATACAGGCTGCATTTCAAAATCTGATCCAGCGCCAGTGTTTAGCACGTTCTAATTGGCATTAGCAGAGTCTACGGGTGCGGAAGCCATTAAAAAGGCAGCAAATGCTCTAGTGCTCGGAGTCGCTGGTTCTTCTAAAACTGACTGGCTCTGTTAAAATACGTGAGAGGGTGAGAATATGTACGACAAATCCACGATAATCGCAGGGGGTTTCCTGATGCCAATGAACCATATTTTACTGCTGTCTAAAAATAATGGGAACACCTCCAGCCGAAACAAGTCATATAAGCCCTTAAAAGGAGAAATGGAGCAATGAAAATGTCCCGTGTTTTGACTGACAAGATTTAGAGAGGGTATTCCCCGCATGAGTCACTGAGACATGAGAGCTCCTACTTGAAGCGTGGTCAGCCTCATTTCTGTCTGCTCATCTCCATTAAAAAGAACCATCTATCTATGCAGCACCCCTCCCGGCCCCCCTTCACTACCTCTTTTGCTGCCTGCTTCCCAATCTGAATTGTGCATATTGAATGTGTTTAACATTTAAACAAGACTCTAAGCCCTCACTCACATCGCCCATCCCTGTCCTGTATTTGACCTCACAGTGTACACAAAATGGATTCAAGGCAAATGTCAATAAAAAAAAAACACATTTGGAGTAAGGTTGCTGTTGAAAATCCTGATTTTGACCTATAAGGGGTAGAGCTTTGGGTGCAAGCTTTAAACTGACTGGAAATTGTGATTACCACGAACATTATTAACCAGAATAAAGAGTAAAATCCCAACAAGGAAATAAGGATAAAACCTGCAAACAGAAAACCTAGGGGGAGGGGCTTAATCATAGCATTGCAATCAACGGCTCTATAGCGGCTGCAGTTCGAGTTGCATTTTGAAGTCGTGGACAAGAGCCTGAGGGACCTGAACAGTACATTCTGTGGGTAACATTATCCATCCGCAGCACTAATAATGTAGCTGAGTCATGTACTGAATTACTATGCAATATCAGTAATAAAGGATGGATGACTCATAATTTCTCCCACGTAAGGAAGTTTCTTCTTGATGCGGAAGTATACTAATTGTTGGGTCACAACAACATTAGACGTAGGCAATATTTCTGTTTTCAAAGTTGATTTACAGGTGATATATTTAAATCGTTTTTTTCTAGATTTGTGCAACTCTGTTGGAAAAATAGACAGAAAACCACAACCAAATTAGATTTTCAAATCTGTTTTCAAAACACAAAGTTCAGCCAAGCAAATGTTTAAATGTGTTTTTTTTAAAAATCATCTCCCCCCATAATACGTAATAATAAGTTAAAGTAAGTGCAATTTGAATGAGCCAAGCAATGTATTTATTGAAAGCAGAAGAAAATATGAAATACAATGTAATTATAAAAATATAGAGAAGCATTGAGGAAGTATTTGAAAGATGGCTCTTAGTATTGGAGAGAGGGAAAGAGAAAGGAGTTGCAAAATAGCAGCAGGCGATCTAAGGGCTTGGTGCTGTGGTTGATGGAGGAGGTGGTCTTTTGGTTTTTGTACCCAAGGACCTATTTACTTACAATGTGTCCATGGACTTTAAATGGAAAAACAATCAAATGAGTTGCACAATGAACCTCTTTCCTTAGAGAACAATAGGTAAAATAACAAAACAATATATTCGCAAATTAGTAAAGTAATCCCAATGTCTGTTAAGTTGTCCCCAGGAGTTCTTGTGGTTACCATACAAATAAAAAATAAATCTAAAAAATAATTCCAATCAGCAAATTTATAAAGCTTTTATCGTGGCTTCGTGTCCAATCAGGATTCCCTGAACGTGCTGATTAAACAAAGAAGAAGAAGAAAAATAAGTCTGCAACAAAGCGCTGCTGCGAGTTCACATTTCAGAACATATTGAGCTGGTTCAGTGAAAGACAGCTTGTATTGATTTTTGGAATGAGGTTCGACTGAAAACATTGGACAGCCATGTGGCCATTATTATCACCAATATCTCTAAAAACGAAGTACAATGCCAGTTCAGAAACAGTTGCATTGAGGTAGAATTACAGGTGCTACAGAAGCAGTTTATATGACTGAATTTTTGTGTGTTACAGATGGCTGTGCACTGGCCAGGATCAGTGGCCCGCTGCTCTGTCAATGATTATGAGTGTCCGTTTGAACAGAAAGGTGCAAAGAGAAGTGCTATGGACTGTTTCCGTCACTGGACAGAATCAATGTTGTAAGACACAGTGAGGAGAGCAGCACGTAGCAATCCATGTTGTTTTAAGACGAGACAATGTGTGAAAAAGATGGGAAAGGGAACGGAAACAAAGGGAGAGTATGACGTTATAAGCAGACAAAAGAATCTCCCTCTTCTAAAGCTTTAAAATAAACCCTCTTGTACTACACTCCCCCTGGCACAAGGATGCATTGATAAAGATGAGAAAACACCCACCGAACTCGGGGGTCCTCTCAGAAACGCCTCTGCATTCCAGAGGCGTTTCCATGGCTTCCCTCAATTGACAACAGGTTAAGAGGTTTGTGGGAAAAGAGGGCATTTGTCTCCCTTCCTCATCCGGCTAATGACTCCAGTTTAACAGGTTCAGATGAGTGAGTGACACCACAGGGCCCCCTGCAGGGAAACGTGTGATTATCAGGGGATTTAAGAGTGTTCCATGCAGAAAGACTTACAGTATCTCAGTGGATAGGTAGTTATCATTGTGGCCAGGGAATCAACCCTAATCAAGGTCTCCTTAATCAAAGTATTTCTCAGCCGCAGAGCGGGAAACACAAGAAGGCTGTTTTTTTGCTTTGGAGTTTTGGTGGTAATCACTTGAAGCCTTGGCAGGGGAAGGGTTGGGGGATCTTGGGCACGACCTCCCGTGTGCACTCAGTGTTCCTTTGTAACTGGAGGGACTGTCGTGACAAGGCATGTGCAAGTGTGTAGACGTATCTCAAAGTCACATCTGCGGGTCCTACCCACCTAAACTATGGCATTTTGAGGCTGATGTATCTGCAGATTATGCTCCTCCTATCCGGCAGTGCCTGGTCGCAACCCTGTGCATAATGCATCCTCTACTTTTGCATGTTTTATGCAAGTATGTTATCTCAAGGGGTTTAAAAAATAATCCACGCTCGACTACACCACACCACAGACTCTATGGGTTGTAGCTGCTGCTGTAGAGGGCCAGTCACACTTTTGGTGATTGGCTTTTTTAAAATCTTGAATTGAATGCAGATAGTGTTTGACTGGAGTAGTTTTGGTACCGGGTTATTTCCCCTAACGACTGCTAATTTAAATATCACCACAAATGTCCTGTGTCCGCACCAAGAGCCTGACATTTTTCTTTTAACATTCTCTCCGCAGTTGTGAGGGTGGACGGCGGCCCGCAGCTTGACACACCTCCACCTGGAGTCTGAGGAAGGGGAGGCAGAGCCAGGGAGAAGAAAGTGGGGGACTTGAACTTTGGACCAAACAGAAAGCAGCAGGGGCCACATGGGAATATAAAACTGGCTCTGATTCATATGTGAAGTGGCCACAGAGTAAAGACTCGACTTGAATGGATCTCCTAGCACCTATGGGCGACTGTCGGACTCTTCATCCCTGCATATAGAGTCCAACTCTATCAATCAGTGTGTGCCTGGACACAACCTGCACGGCAATATCAACCACTATCTGTAACAACGTCACTGCAGATACATAATCATAGATACATGCCAGTGCATCTTTTATTATCTGACTATTCCCGTATCTAATATTGACATAATTCTCACTAACTGCCAATTTAGTCTCCTCAGCCCCTTCTTAAGCTTGACATTTTCCCCTAATTCCACAATCACTAGCCATGAAACATACTGTATGTGCCTGAAAAGTAAATAGGCTGAAAGGTTTACCATTATCTCCTCTTTCTTTTTTCTTGTGCATCAAAGAGGCCTTCTTCCTCAGTGATTGGCCTTTTTCCCTCTCACATCTTCCTCTGTGGCGTCCCAGTCTCAGATAATCCAGTCTCTCAATAGGATTCACTCTATTAAACACCCGCCATCATCTGCGATACACGAAGCAGCAGGGGGAAGGAAACGGGGGATGTGAGTCACTCAATACTTCTTTTGAAGTTCCTTGTTCGTGTGTCATTTAACCACAGACATTTTTCATGGCATGTTGTCTTAGAATTACATCATTGTTTGAGACCAACTGATGTAGGTGAATCATATTTGGGAAGAAAGGTCATCTCCTCAGTAATCAACAATTTTTGTTCCTGTCCTTGAAATAGACCAATTCAGTGACACAGGGATTGTGTTTCATTCATTTCATGCTCATAATGTAACACAACCGATGTTTGTGGTATATTTCTTTGATTCTGTGGCTTGAGTTACACGGCTGATTCAGCAGGGTGCCTACGTGCTCCTCCATGGAGCCTGACAACTTTAAAGAAACATCTCCTCACTGCGATGATGTCTGCTGTCATCACTGACCCAGAGTAAAGAGCGAATTATTAAACAGATGCTTAAATGAATTTGGGACTTGAATGTGCAAGAAGGAATCCCATCTGTCATTCTTCACGACTACTGAGTAAAATTGGGACACCCCTCAGAGGCAAACTCAGTTCACTATCCTCTTAGCTCACTTAAACCACTGACGTCCAAACACTCACTTTTACAGTCTTGTGTACAGCTGTCTGCGTGATAGAGCCTGATAAACAGTGTTGGGTGCTAATGCATCTGCAGCGATCGTGCTCACATCAACACAGGGCCTATTAGAGAGACGTCCTGACAGGCAGGTAGTAATTACCTCAGGGTTTCAGCTTCATTTACCCTCGGCTTGGCTCGGCCACTTCCCATTGGGATTAACGCAGGGGACAGCAGAGGGGCGACACGGCCCTCTTTGAAGCTTCAACATGACATTACAGATCCCTTATCCAAGTCCGAGGCCGCTGACATTTACTTTATCACCATGGGGATATAAAAGCACTTAGCTGCGTGGCAGGGTGGCACCTTTTATCACACAGGAACACTTTTATCCTGCCTTCCTCTTGCTGCTTGCGGTAACTGTGAAAGCAGTCACCGTAGATATAATGTAAAGGAAGTATACTGTAGCTCAGTTTGACTGCTTTCATTCCTACAGGGGAAAATACTTTCTCAGGGTCCCTCCTGTTGTGGTGTGACTAAATATGATCAAAAGATCTCTAGATAATTCCTATACCTAACGTGTAGATGTAAAGCAGCTGTTGTGTTCAAAAACATGGAGTACGACACGGGGTGATACAGTATACTAATGATTAAAATGATTAAAACACGGATACATTTAAAGAAGGTAGTTTATTCCCTGTCTTTCTCAAATTCGGACAAGACACATACCTGAAAGGTATTAATCTCCTCATGAAAACTCATGAAACTCTAAATACGAGACTACGTGTAAGATCTATTTCTTTAAAGGAGAAATAAGATGTGTTTACTCGTCAGCAAAGCATGTAGAGTTTAGTGAGCAATAGATATTAAAGAAATGTGAGGAACACAGAGAAAGTGAGTCATTACATCCGGTATGGCGCTCCATGGATCAGTCACATGGTCAAGGTCATCTTAATTGAACTTTATGATCTCTTCACTTGTGATTCATCTTGTACCACTGGAGCATTCTGAACGGAGACACATAAGACTGTTCTGCTCACAGCTCCTGAGTTTACGTGGGCACGCGTTGTGGATGTGTGACCACACACTTCCACAGCGACAGTGTATGATTCACTCCTCTACTGAGTGAGTCGGCGTGATTCATCCCGGTCCTCCCTGTGGCAGTGACATTAAAGCAGACGCTGTTACAGTACGTGTTGATTCAAAAAAAGAGACTCCTCGACTCCGTCTCCCCCTGAGACACAATCGACCCTCGAGCAGCGCACTCATCCACCCTGAACCAACATATTCTCTTTCTCCTGCAGCTTGTGAAGTGACACACACAATGTAAGAATGTAAACCCTGAATATAAACAGAAATATGCAAGACACATTCAAAAATAAGGTTTAAGTTTGCCCTTGATCTGTAGTTGTACATTTGTTTTCCGTTTTATTTTTTATTATAAATAGTATTACACTTTTTGGAGTCAGTATTTGTTTAACAGTTATTTTGTAGCACTTATTAGATGTAACATGAATGCATTCAAAGAGTGTACCACAGTTCAAGTGCCTGTGTACAGTGTCAGGTGTCTTTAAGTTTGGAAGTTTTATTTGCATTTATTTTTTTGTGTATTTCTTCGATATTTTTAGAGCTTATGGCGGTTTTTAGTCAAAAGAAAATCAGTTGAACTTTGGAGACTCAAGCAAACTGTATAAACCTGGCACCAATAGAGAGAGACTTACAGTACACTATAGGTTGCCAATGAAGACATACTGTATTTTAACATGCTACACTGTAGATACTGGCAACTAATAGGGTCATGTAGCATTACAAAAACCTATACATGTCACCTGAGACTTGCTCTAAAACTCACGTATGCTATTAGTCAATAGAAATCAGCTCTACTGTGCAAGGTTTTTGCATGTACAGTAAGTTTCATCACGTACCTCCATTTCAGAGGGAGAGACATGTAATGTGCCGTAACATGAACCCTGTGGAGAGGTTCACTGTGACTATGTGATATTGTTACAAACTTTATACAGATAGATCAGGACCTGCTCCCAAAAAAGCTGAATGTCACATGTACTTACCTACTAATGTAAAATGCATTGTGTAAATGTGAATTTTTAGAGTTGATACAAGATACAAAAATACACTATAAAATGTAAAAAACTGAAAATGTGTGCAAATGAAGTGACCATCTATAATACATTAAACAGAGATGTCATTGCATAATGTGTCAAGTGTGTCTTTGGAGCTGATCTTAGACTAGCAATGTTAACATTCAAGGTAATACTTCCCAAAAGTATAACTTGCATATTAGTCACCGACCAAGTGTTATCTTGAAGAAAGCCATCATATTAAAAGTTCCGAATTCCAAACTCTCACAAATCATTCAGAATGACCCATAAAACAAGTCTCATGTGTGCTCACAACTTCCCAGGATCATGTATTTTTACTTTTCAAAACTATTCAAAATGGTATCCAATTACTTATTATTGTTAAACGTTCACACTTGTACATGTGCACTACTCGCCATGTGAGTACTTATGCTGAAGTGTTTAAGCCTTTTCCCCCAAACTCTTCCTTCGTTGAATAATGTTGTAAGATACATAAAGACATCTTTAAATGGGCAAAGAAACCTCAGTGAACTATTACTGGGAAAGAAAAAAAAAGAAAAACATCTGAATGTGTTCAAAAATGTTCCCACGATTGACTGTACAGACCTTAAATCTTTCAAGGACTTTCCACAATAAGTTACACACAGACTTCATGTTAGGCTCAAAAAATGCCCTTTTAGTTTTTTACGCCCATTTTCACAAAACACCCAACAGCATTTGTGAAAATTACCCCAAGCACATGAAAATAAAATGCTGTAACCAGAAAGTATGGCGCGGCAGCCAAACCACAGTAAAAAGCAAGACCACATGTGTGTGTCCATTGGACCCAGAGTGTGGTTTCCTGCAGTCTTATCACCACTTAAACATTCTGGGGAACAACGGGGTCTAACTTCCTGCTACGTGTCAGAGATGAATCTTCAGCGATAAAATGCTCCACAGAAACAGAAGGGACATACGAAGAGGGAAGACAGCATCTACAGCACTAATGTATGTAGTTGCTGCAGTTTTGGGGGAAAACATTTCAGTTTCAACAGCAGCATTTCCCATTCACTTCAGTGATTTCAAAGACAAGTGTATCTGGAAAATCTAAACAAAATCAGGAGTGTTCAAGCTTTCTGTTCAGTTTTTCTTTGACTGGTTTCAATATGAGCACCATAATGCAGCAAACCGCTGAGATGGAGGTGACAGATAGACAGCAGAATTTTCATTCGATCAGCAGGGAGCACTTATATGGAGACACTAATCAAACTGCGTTTTTCGCTATGTCAAGATTAATCAAGACTGAAAGTCAGCTGAAATGACAGAAAAAAAAAAAGACGTCTTAAAAAGATAAAAGGAAACAGATATGCCCATTGTAGGAAAGCAAAGACACATTTAAATATGCTCATGCGATAAAACTCAAACACGACACGACTCACAAAGAAACGCCACCTTCAGGTTTAAAATATGTCAGTCGTGTTGTTGTAGCACACCTTTGTTAATAGATGGTTTTAATAGCAACCAAATGCAATCGTTTTGCTGAATTTAGCGAAGACACTAGCAGAGTTGAAGTAACTTGTGTTTTACCAAGAGGGTTAACAGCCTGCATCAGCACCTGCACTGACATTATAATGCAACTATGTGTCTGATGTTTTACAGCACAAAAAAGTGCTTTTCAATGTCAAATACAAAAGTTAAAATGTTGACATTTTTTGCTGGTCACTTTATAGAAAATTACAGCTGTATGCAACTCAAAGCAGAAAAAGAGACCGTCCTCTCCATAAAAACAACATCAGAAGTCAATGTTCAAAAGCCTGAAATGTACAAATGTATCTGATAAAGCTTTTTCCTGTTGTGCAAAGAGGATGTTGCATAATCACACCGTGTAACCTCTTCCTGGTGGATAGCATCTTGCCTTAAATGAAAATATGTTAAGTATTCACCAAGAGTGATTACATTTGACTCTATGCTTAAAAAATGCTTAAAACCAGATTTTTGCTGAATTGTCAGATGCATGGGCTAGTTTCTAAAATACTATAGCTGAAAGGATAACAGGAAGCAGGGAGACGTAGTTATGTCCCCTGAGACAGGACGCACCAGGATTTATGGAAAATGTGGCTCTCATTTTTTAAACATAAAACACTTCATGTCTCATCTTAAACTCCAAGCACAATCAGAGCAGGAGGGAGTGAAAACACGATGCAGAAACACGTACACACATCTGTTCTGAGCTCAGTCAGTCGATCTACATCTGCACACAATGTGAGCTGGTGGATATTTTTGGAAAATGGGGTCTTTCCTCACCGTGGAAAAATATTTGAATCTGTCTTTCAATGTACTCCTTATTGTGATGTCGAAACACCTGACAAATAAATAATAAAACATTGCGTGCACACACACACAACAAAGTGGAAACATGGGGCCATACTAAGATCTCTTTTTTGTTGTAGCATTTCCGTTTTATCAGTGTTTTCAAACAGGTCTCTGCAGGGAGAGCTGGCTGCAGGCCTGGATACCAGCTCCAGAACATGGGACACATGAGGAAACCATCCGGCACAGCAGCAGTTAACACATCAGCAAATCAACCAGTCCAACCCTGGCCTCTCCTATCTGCCTGCATCCCACGTAGTAGGAAAGGGACCACCATGTCACAACTACATTAGTTTTATGTTAAAAGTAGGGCTGTCAAACGATTAAAATTTGTAATCAGATTAATCACAGCTTAAAAATTAAGACAGCCCACACACCTATCAATCATCAAACCGTGGGGTCTTATTTCATTACGTGTTGATTTCTATCAACACGGGGGGGTCTAGTGGAGTACTACGTGACCACAGAGCGTGAACGCTGTGATCAGCTGTTTTAGCGCAGTTCTCCAGTGAAGGGGAGGAGTCTCCCTCCGCAGCCGGTTGGCGTAGTTTTGGCACAATTCCGTTGTACAAACCGACGTTAACAGCAGCCCTGTCTGTGCACACGGAGACCGACTCTGTCGTCCGGTGATCTAACCGCCTTCTGGAAAAGCACGTCGGTACGCAAATGGGCTTTGTGACACAAGTGACGGTACGCATTTCAGATTGTTGCCGCGCATGCGTACCTGCGTACCAGTTATGTGCACCACTGTACTACAGCAAAAGTATTCTTAGTCGGGACTCCCTGCAACAACACCACGCCGTTATCTTCTTCTGATTGTCCAGTAGAGATGGCAAATCCGGATCCTTTTATGGACTTGAAGTCTTATGAGTCAGTCATTGAAGAAATCCGGATCATACGAGTCATTTGAGTCATATGAGTCAGCATCACCAAGACAGTAGAAATCCTACCGGTGAAACCGAAAAGTTGTTGCATTTCACGAGCATATTAAACTGATGTTATATTAACCTCCACTACACAGTGCCTTTTGCTTTAATAAAAAATGTTGATCACAAAAAAAAAGGGTTATTTTGCGATTTGGCAAATCTGTCTGCTGTTGACTCGTGCATGACGACGAGTCTGCTGGATCTCTGGATCGGCTGATATACGGTTACGGCTCTGAGTCCGCACGAGTCTGCTATGTTTTCCACAGTGAGTCAGGATTTGCGAATCTCTGAGTCTGCTGTTGACTCGTGCATAATATAGGCGGCTCCCGCGGCTCTGAGTCCCCACGAGTCTGCAGGAAGTTTCACTGATCCGCGTCCCCTCTCCTGAGCCAAACGATAACTTCTGGAAGCTATCCTACTTGCTAAGGGTAGCAGATGGACTGGGGTACGTTGTAATGTTATTTTACATGTTATAAAGAGAGTAGCGAGTGACGCAATTGATAGTTTTAATTTGTAAGTCACACCAGGTGTAGGACTCAAAGGACTCGGGTTAATGGAGAGGGGAGACTCGTCACGACCAGCTCATTTCTAGGATCCGGGTTAATGATCCGGATGAATTCAGGACTCGCCCATCTCTATTGTCCAGAAGACATTATCAAAGATGTTCTATTGAGAAGACGATCACTACGTGACAAAAGTTTTCAAAACCGTTTCTGATCTTCGGTATTTCCAGACAAGTGGCTACTGAAATCAATCTTACTAACTGCTGTCTGTGCAATTCTCGGCGCGAGTTGGCGGACTTTATATTGCTTATTTTAACATCATTTTTCATGGTGGGGCTAAGCCATTTCTTCGCATGGGTGTAGCCTACCCCAGCCATACCCTGGCGCCAGGGCCGTATCCAGGATTTCCTAAATACCGAGGTCCAAACATGCTAGGGGGGTTCGGGGAATACCCCCCTAATATTTTGGATTTTCATGATCTAGTTAGGTGCTTTTTAAATCCTGTGGGGGGTCACAAATTGGATAATATATCGATTTCAAACCATTTCAGTGGGCTGACGATGTCAGCATACATTGTTTTTGAAAGTGTAATACATAAGAATCAGTTGATTGTTACTATTAATGATCTGGACATGCAGAAGAGGCTAAAATGATCACAAAACATTGTCAACATTCATTTCCCATGTCTCTCTCCTTTCCATAACCTGCAGCCTCTCTTCCATCTTCTTTAGTCTCTCTGTCTTCTTCCTGTTCATTACTCTCTCTGTCCTCCACTCTTTCTCTTTGTTCAATCTCTCCCTCGTTGTTCACTTTTTGCTCCTCCTCACTTGTCGCTCCTGCCAGTGAATTAAAAGCAATTCAGCAATTTAGTTAATTTCACTTGTTTGTTTGCATTATTTTTTTTTATTTAAATCTGTTTTGTTTGATTGTCAAAAGAGAACAAAGTAAGCAAATTGTGTTTTATACAATTTTATGTTATTATGACATCATAACTGCAATAGATAGGCCTATATGTTGTTTTACAATTATGCCTATTGTAAATGAAGACTATTGTTATAGATATATACAGTGGGGCAAAAAAGTATTTAGTCAGCCACCAATTGTACAAGTTCTCCCACTTAAAAAGATGAGAGGCCTGTCATTTTCATCCTAGGTATACCTCAACTATGAGAGACAAAATGAGAAAAAAAAAAAAATCCAGAAAATCACATTGTCTGATTTTTAAAGAATGTATTTGCAAATTATGGTGGAAAATAAGTATTTGGTCAATAACAAAAGTTCATTTCAATACTTCTTTANTTTTTTCTGCTGTACCGAAAACGTACCGAACCGTGACC